AAGCGCTGTTCATGACGGAGAGAACAGTAGGCCGAGGAATGCTAGTATTTCTTCCTAGTTATGCAAAAAATTAGACGCTCCGTCAGATAAGTGACATGCAGGGATATCAAGCGGCCATGCGAAAAAAGTTGAAATTGATGAGTAAGCTTGCCGAAAGCTAATAAACATCGCATATTATGGACTGGTAGTGGCAGGAAAGTAAATAAACATTTAGGCGGCACTTGAAGAAGTGATTCAAACTGAACAAGCGGTGGATGCTAACTGAAGGTGTGCACTCAGAACTGAACATCCTAAGGTAACTGTACTCGGCTTCTGAGAGCATTCCACTTACGTCACTAATAAGGATTTCCCCACACCGATTAATCTGAAAATGACCTGCCTGTTCAGCAAGTAATCTTCCTGTCAAAATTTTTACGTGTCCGTACGTGGGTATCACGCATACCTGCAGGCTGAATTTGGAAGCCTTCATGGACAGGGAACGTCCCTTTAAAATTTCGGCCTCTCGTCTTGATTGATTTCCTCGCCAAAAATTTGCGTGCTTTCCAAGGCGCCCAAACGTCGGACCCAGGCATGCGTGAATAATAATATTAAACTAGTAGGGTCATACAGAGGACGGGCACGCACTCCCGAAGTTCCAGCTTTCTAGTTTTTCTGGTTCTCCAGTTGAAGCTGAATGACAGAAAGTGTAAGCACACAGAAACACATACACACGCTGACATGCAAACACGCAGTTTTCTGCCAATATGCGTTTTTGCATATTATGCAGATGCAAAAACGCATATTGGCAGAAAACTGCGTGTTTGAATGTCAGTGTGTGTATGTGTTTCTGTGTGTTCACGTTTTTGCATTTGCATAACATGCAGAAACGCATAAAAAGTGGTGAAGCTCCGATTTGGCATTTATAATCTCTCGTGAACTTGGGAACACTGCTACCTTTATCGATTCTTCATTTTGTTAATAACCCAATTTTTGCGACTGATCTTGCTAGCTTCTAAGAGACGAGTACGTGTTTCGCAATTGGTACAGCAGTAGGAGCAGGAGTAGCAGCAAAAGCAGCACATTAACAACCTAATCAGCATGAGTAACCTTGATGTGAAACATAAAAGCAGCTTATAAATCCTCATATTTATGTGGTATATCTGTTTCTTTCCTCTTAGCCCTTCCCCGTTTCTGTCCGCGCTCTTCCTCATAGCTGCTCGCATAGTGATTTAATGTGAAAGTCTAACCTGACATATTGCTTTCATGAGCACTTCGTCGATAAGCATAGTTATCATCGTACCTTGTTTTGTAATCAGGCAAATAAGATGAACCAGGCCGATCACAGGACGTGGTAGTGTGCCATGTGGAACCTGCTGTTCGATATGTTAATTTTGGATGCAGATTGCTGGAAAAAAAAATGCGTGGACTCATGTACAGACACATAACACTATGTATTGAGAGCGAGGAACATATAC